AGAGTTTTTAATAAAAGAGTATTGGTGGATTTTGGTAGGGCCTATATTTTCAAATTGAGACCCCAAATTTCACAATACAGTAATCCGATTTCATAATCAGCCGCGACATTAATTACACACGAATCATTTGGTTTTGCATCTTGTACAAGCCAATGCATTGCAGCTATAATATTTCCTCTAAGAGGACGCCTTGTAGGATCTTTCTGATCATCCGTTAAGATCAACATATTAGCTTCACTGAATCCATATAATTCAATCAAGAACTTTTTTACATTTTGAACGTCATTAATACAGCCTATTCAAAAATAAGATAAATTTGAGTTGTTGAAGTAGTTGAAGTAGTTAGAAATAAACAATTCAAAGTTCAATTACCTCTCAATTCAAATTGAGAATCAAAATAATTAATTCCAATTAACAAAGCCTTTTTGCGTCCTGTACAATTTGATAATACATAATTTGGAGAGGAAGGTATATTCGGATTTTGATACATTACGTAGCCTTGGGCCGGATATTGTTGAGGTTGGTTATAGGCTGTACCAGGCGATTGTTGATATGGTGGTGGAGCATTATTGTATTGTTGATTTGGAGGTGGTTGTGAAGGAGCATTATATCGTTGATTTGGAGGTGGTTGCGAAGTTGGACTATAGTATTGTTGATTTTGAGGTGGTTGCGAAGGTGGACTATAGTATTGTTGATTTGGTGGAGGTGGTTCCCATTGTGTAATTCCAGTTGCTTGATCTGTGATAAACAGTTATTAAGGTACAAAGGTACAAAGTTTCGCTTAAATAGTCAGTCAAAACACTATAAAGCCTTATCTAATACCGATACTTACTAACAAAATAATACTTTTGACTAGCATGATCATACAGAGATAACCATCCAGGTGGTAGAGGCTGAAGTGCCGGTTGTTGAGGCGGAGGTGCTTGATAACCTGGATAACCAGAATTACTCGGTTTTCCACCGTATTGCTGTTCGTATTTTCGTCCAGGATACATGTTTTAAAGTAACAAACTCATTAAAGACCCATTTTAAAAGGATTGCTAATCTACTAATTTCCGATTCTGGCCAATCAAAGGTGTAACATGAAAAGTTAAAAATCAAAAATTCCCAAAGTGTATGAAACATATGAAATACGTAGATGAAATAGAATTTCTAAATATCGGCCGATTGGATTTTTAGGGTCTTTTTTCGATAAACTGTTACACAAAAGGTTTTCCACGTATTAAGTAACATAATAAACACTTAATTAACGAGAGAGCCTTTTTACGTAGTCTCGTGTGAGATTATAAGTTTATGTGGAAATAAATAATTAGATACGTACTAAGCTGGTTTGAAATGTGGTCAAACCAAATCGGCGCATATTCTCTACATATTATATGTCACACGATTATGTCACTGATATGCACACCTACAGTGTGTAAATACTGGAATACGTAGTACGTATTTAATTTAAATATAGCATAAAAAAGATAACCTAAAAGACGCGTATTAAATTTTTAATTTTTCCGGTTATCCATTGATCTATATTTAAGAGTACTATTGTAATCAACACAACACAACCACCAAATCACTTACATAATCGTACCTAAAATCATAACCGAGTTATATAGAGTAATTCGTTTCTAATAATGCATGGACGGGATATGCTTAGGCACTAGTTGATAATCAAGACTAACTATCCTAAAAATTAATCTATAATTTCGATAACTACTTTTCGTGTTCTATGATTAGGGATATGACCAGTTGGCTCGACTACAAAAGTTGATTCTTTATCAAAGCTAACAATTACAGCATTACAAAAAAAAAATTAATCATCAAAAATGTCACTGAAGGTCAGGGATGATAAATGACTTGAAATAACCTGATGACTCAAATAACAAATGACTAGTCATTGGTCATTTCGAATGCAAGGTCATTTAACATACGTACGTACGTACGTACGTTATTTGATGTTCTAGCATTTTTTAAGCAATCAAAATTGATTACAGGATAAATGCAAATTTTTATATGATACGTAAAACATTATAATCATAACTCAAATTTTATTAAGCTAGTCAATATTTATGCGTTAAGTAAAGCTTCAAAATAACAAATTGCATATACTCTAAAAGTTTCGTGTAATTTGAATAACTTTTTATTCATTCACTTTCGCATTTATGGAAGATTAAGAATTTTCATATTTAAATGTAAAATGCGGAAGTGAATTAATAAAAAGTTATTCAAACGATATGAACCTTTTAGAGTATATGCAATTTTCGTTCTGAACAACTTAAGACATACTGTAAATAATGACTAGCTTAGTAAAACTTATATACTGTATATCAAATAACTTTTTTAGTTATCAAAATTTTAGGCGCAAATGACTCAAATGACAGGTCATTATTTGATGACTTGGGATCATTTAAATTTTGATCAAATGACCAGGTCATTTACCATCCCTCCTGAAGGTTAACTTTTATATAAATTATTTAACGATGTACTGTAATTATAATAACCATCACATATCGATATTAATGAAAATAGAAACAGGATTTGTTAAGCCTAGAGTATATTTTTTTAGATATTGATTAATAAAAATATAAATTTATAAAACAACTAGTATCTGGACATGTCCTAACGTCTATGCATTATTAAAACGAATTATTCTTTGGATAGTTCATTCGGAAGTAGCTCAAAAGATCGATCAATGTTACACCTAATCAAACCAACTAATTAATGAGAGGATTTCGCGTTAGTTTTTACTACAAAAAAAAAACCAGCCTACATCTAAACGCGAATATCATTCACATCATTTTAGTGGATATTTAAAGCCTAGCAGCTAGCATCATTCAAAATTGCACGTCTGAAATGTGTCAAAAATCTCTTGTTTCTCAAAACCTACATAAGAAATCGTTTTTTCTTAAGCATACAACTTGTTAACGCATAATCCTAATGTAAGCACTAACTTTAATATCAATGGACTATAAAGAATTTTGCCTGCGCCACAAACCTAGCATACATTTTAGACGTACCCGATTTTAATGAAGATTGATTGATATAGTAATACGTATTAGGGTTAGAGTTTATCCGATGTGTCTATTTCACACCCTGTAACGATAATTGAGCAATTTCGTCTTTAACTTCGAAATCAAAAATAATAATAAAATAAGGGAACGTCTATTTCCACCACGAAAATTTGCTATTTCCACCATGCTTTTCACATGAGATTCAGCTACATAAGCATGATTTCATGTGGTTCCCTAAAACGTGTTATTTTCAAATTGACATAATTGAGAAATGACGCATAACATTTTCCACAATTTGACGTATGGCAGCATGTTGGAAATAGCAAATGTCCATGGTGGAAATAGGCGTTCCCTAAAATAAAAATGAACAAAGTTTCCAAATTAACTAGTAAACTAATTATTTTTTCGCAGTTTCATGCTCATTTATCGTTTATCGTTCTATCTTCATAACCGATCTGAACTTTTACATCAATCTGATTTTATAAAGTAACGTTTCTAAAGTATAAAGGCTTAAATATTAGAGTTTGGAAATACCGTTTTTCAAAGTTTAATCTTTTTTGAAGAAAATTTGTTGAAAAGCGCAACTCATGAAACTTTACAGAATTACAGTCAACACAACCTTCACAAGTAATTTTTAAAGTTTTTCTAACGCTTTTACCATTAACTTTGCTATCTTAAATGGTTTGCCAGTCCCATTATCTAAATATTAAGATAACATTTTTGAAGAGTCGAAAATTCGCAGCAAGTGCGTTATTTTTGAATTTTTAATACGTAAATATTCATTAAACAAGTGTAACTTGCTTGCTATATTTTACATATAATTCAAAGAAAAAAAATTTTTACTAACGAAATGTTACATTTATTTAACTTATTAACAAAATTAGATTCACATCCACATGTTCTATTCATAAAGAATCTAATTTAATTGATATAAATAACTTGTTAACCGAAAAGATCCAATCCCATATCTTCATCTGATTCTTCTTCAGGTTCTTCTTGTTTTGCTGGTGCAGCTTCTTTTGAAGCTGTGGTTTCGGCGACCGGTGCCGCAACGGCAAAAGCGGATGGATCTGCGAGATATTGTTTAACCTAAAAATGATGTAATGAACATGATTAGCGCATAATGAATGTAATAGTGTGTGTGCTGAATTATATAATCATGGTGTACGCGAATATTAAAAATAATTAAATAAAAAAATCTCATTTATGAGTTCATTGTTAATAATTAATTACCTTCTCAGAAGCGGCAAAAGTATATTCTGTTGCAACAGAAATAGCCAATAAATTCTTGAACCCATTGACAAGTGAATGGGGAACTGAAGCAACAGTAGGATATCCAATTTGCAACGAAATAGCTGCGATCGTCTTGATACCACTTAATATGTGATCGATCAAAGTAGATTCCTCAACGTCAAGAACAGAAGGACTGAATGTATTACCATTATCGTAAATTTGTACGACCGTCAACCCATAAGTGAATGGGGAAATGTTTAACATGTTCAACAATGTAGCTTCAGAAGCTCCGACTTTACCACCTGCCTTCACCAGATGCATTTCATTGATGATTTCAATTGTACCACGAGCAATTTTTGTGGGAACCCCAAGGGCTTGAAAGAATGATGTTTTTCCGGGTTCCATACCGGTGTTACCTGCTGGAACGTATACATCATTTGGAGCGACGGCACCAGCCTTAGCAGGTGCTTTAACCTTTAAATACATGGTCGGTTAGAATATTAATTAAATTTTTCTTCAAATTTTTCTTCAAATTTTATAAATTATTTTTTCCACATGCGTACCCTGTTCGACAAAATCGCATCTCTTGTTTCCTTCAAATCCGCTTTAGTAAACACAAATCCAATGTTACCTTTTACATGAGGTAAAAGTCTTTCAAATTGAGGATTATCAGCGATCAAAATTTTTAACGCTCTCCTGACCATCGTATTCTTTCCCATCAATACTACTGCCTTTCCCCGAAGGCTATGACGGATTTGGTGCATTTGGTTTGAACCTACATTGTCAACATTTACAATAAAAATGGAAGGGTATTCTTCCAATAAAGCTTTGAGCCTTTCGAAATATTCGACTTTTTTGGCGCGACCGTCTCCCTTTGACATCTCGAACTTTTTTCAAAAATTATTCACGTGTACAAGGGGATCCTTTATTGGAAACTTAAAGACAAGTCTGATCATGATTAAAGGTTAAGCAGTAAATTATTATCTAATATCCAATGTCTAGCCATATTTTCTTTGTCAATTTGATGAATGGATGGATGAAATTTTTTAATACACACCGCAGATATAGATTTACGAGTAGGAGGAAAAAAAATGAATAAAATTTTTTGTCAATATATACTAAACTAAAATTAGACAACCAATCATATTCGATCTGCATGTAGTAAATAATTATTTAATGTCGGGACCCCTTCGAGAATTCCTTGATTTAATGTTATTACGTTTTTATAATTTCTATATACCTCGCTTGTATATATTATTTAAGCTCCAGATTTTTGCAATATATTAAAAAAAGAAAAAATTAACACGTTTTTGCCAAATAACTATAATGGGGATTATGCTTACGAAACTGTGGCGCAAGCTTACCAACAAAGAGGAAGTAAAAATTGTGCTCGTTGGGTTGGACAATGCGGGGAAAACTACCGTTTTATATAAATTGTAAGAGTTTATTTGAAATTTTATTTTTGACTTTTCGTATGTTCAAAAACATTTCGACTTTTTCAAATAGGTTACTAAATGAAGTAGTCGTTACAACACCCACCATAGGAAGCAATGTGGAGGTATGTTCAACATTTTTTATTAATAAATTCTTATTAGTACCCTAGGCATCCCGAAAAAAAAGTGACGGTCATGGTTAGATTCTACTCGAACTACATGTTCTGATTAGACGAAATCGACGATCCATAACAACAATATTACATACTTTTTTCAAACTTTGAGCGATGATATTCTCAGTAACTACTCATTTAAAATTGATGGAAATTTTTTTATTTTATTTCTACAAATTCATAAAATTAAAATTTAAAAAAATTTATTAAATTTAAGTAGATAGTTATCGAGATCAAAGTTTTTAACAAAAATATGAACGATTATCAAAACAAAGGTTTTTTTTTAAACTTTGAGTGATGATATCTCGATAGCCACCTACCTAAAATCGATAAATATTTGTTGTTTTAATTTTATGAGTTCATAGAATTAAAAAAATTTTCATCGATTTTAGTTAGGTAGTTATTGAGATATTCTCGTTTAAAGTTCAACAAAAATTTAAATGATTATCAAAATAAAGGTTGCGGCCAAGTTTTTCCAAACTTTGAGCAATGATATCTCGATGACTACCTACCTAAAATTGACGAAATACTTTTAATTTAATTCTATGAAATTCATAAATAAAAAAATTTTTATTGATCTTAGGTAATAGTTATCAAGATATTTTCAAAGTTTAACAAAAATTTAGGTGATTATCCCAAAGGTTGCTGCTAAGCTTTTTCGAAACTTTGAGTGATGATATTTTGATAACTACTTACCTAAAAATCAATGAAATTTTTTTTATTTTTATTTTAATTCTATTGATTCATAGAATTAAAATAAATTTTTTTTTATCGATTTCAAATATCAAATATCTAGTTATCGAGATATTTCAAAGTTTAACAAAAATTTAAATTACCAAAACAAAGGTTGCGAAGGGTACTAAATTCTTATTAGATCAGAATATATATATAAATTTGCGTGTTTTTTTTTTATTTTTATAGGAAATAGTCTATAAAAATATACACTTTTTAATGTGGGCAAGTATCTTTTTCAAACGATTTTCCTTCTATGATATTTGACTAACAATCCAATCCAGCCCTTCAAATAATCTATATAAATTCATAATGAGTAAAACAAAATTAATGTTTAAAAAAGATAAATCCGTCATTCGTTATTAACTTACCCATCACCGGTCAATGCACAGCAAGCCTATAAATAAAGAAATTAATTTAATATATTAAAAAAGAAAAAAAGGAAAGCAAACATATGTTATATAGATGGACGAATTATAATCTATTGTTTTATGCTTTCTAATAAGTACCTGGATATGCCATTGTCTATCCCGCATGCTTGTCAGGTTCAATGCCTCAGAAATTTGTGCTGCTGTTAATGCACCTTTCATGTCTTGTTTGTTGGCAAATACAAGTAATACAGCGTTTTTAAGATTCTTTATGTTTGGTAAACATATTAATCATCATTAGAAAATAAAAATTTAAAATTTAAATAGAAATAATATTAATTGTTACGGCTGGCTGAAGATCACGTGAAAATTCGGGTCGGAAATTGCAGATTAAAACACTCGTTTTTGTCACAAATCGTTTATAAATCAAAAAATTTGCATAGGAAACAATCTTTAGTGTTCTAACAAAAAGTTTGCCTTGAACAATTTTGCTAACATACCCACTAACAACTAACCATATGGGTTCTTTCATAGCAGATCGGGGTTTAGAGAGGTTCTAACCGTAATTGAGATTTTTATTGGGTTATATTCCTAAGTGCATGCTTTATCCGTGG